GTTTACTAAGTCATCTATGTTTGATTGGGTGACAATAGTCAAATAGTAGAAACACCAGTTCTAGATTATACAATGCAACAATACAGGTTATTCGCTGTGATCGCACAAGCTTACGCTGTTTATTTTACTGGTGAAATTATTACTAATTTATACAAGCAATACGATGCGCAAAGTTCAAGCGGTGATTTTTCATTGCTTGCCAATTTACACGCATCCACCAGTGGTCTAAAATCATTGGTCTCTGCAATGACCGTGGATTCTATCGAAGATTGTCGAAGAGCATGCGGTGGTCATGGATACTCAAATTTCAGTGGATTTACTATGTTTTATCAGGATTATTTACCCAATCCTACTTGGGAAGGTGATAATTATCTCTTAACCCACCAAACTGCGCGTTATGTGAGTTTGAACCAGTTTATATTAATACACTTTTAAGTATATAAGAATATTAATTTTGTTATTATTTTAGCTTTTTAAAACATATCGCGAGGTCATTCACAGTAAACATCAAAATAAAGAATTCACTTTACAATACGACACAAACCCAACGATCTTCTATATTCTCCGATATCTAAGTAACCCAAATCAGAAATGTACCGTCACTTCTCCATCTGATTTTATGAATCCTGAAGTTCAACTCGCAATCTATGGTTATCGAGCAGCCAATCTAATCGCTCAAGCAGTTGACCAGATTGACAACCATCAAAAAAGTTGGAATTCGATGCTCGTGGAAATCAATCGAATTTCACGTGCTCATTGTCAATATATATTGGTCCAAAATTTCATACTCACCTTACAATCTCAACCATCAGATTCAATTAACGAAAAAAGACGCATTTTGCATAATAGCCCAGGCTTAAAAAAAGTTTTAACTTCAGTTTGTAATTTATTTGCATTGCATACTATGGAAAAAGAACTTTCAGAATTTTTGGAATCAGAATATTTGTCACCGAAACAAGCAAGAATGCTAAGAGTCCAGGTTTCTGAATTGATAAAAGAAATTAGACCTAATGCCGTTGCATTGGTTGATGCATTTAATTTACCTGATTATTTGTTGAATTCGGCATTAGGAAGGTATGATGGAAAAGTTTACGAAACCATGATTGACTGGGCATCAAAAGAACCATTGAATGCTAT